CTGTAACCAAGATATCTGCTTGTGAGGACGAACCTTGAGATTTTCTCCTTACTTCCTCATTCAACACACCACTCTTGACATATTCCATGGTCACCTTACCTCCAATAGCTGAATTTGTCAAAGAAACACGAAGATTTTCCCAAGAATCAGGCAGAGTATTAAGAAGCCAAAGTCCTTGTATCTCATCATCGAAATTAACCCCCATTCGAGACAGCTGATCAAGGATGCCATAAAAATCATTTATGTGATCTAGGATAGGGCTGTCTTCCTTATATTTAAAGGTCATCAATTGTTTTAGCAGGAACAACTTGTTGTTCCTAGTTTTTGAAGCATAAAGAGCCTCTAACTTTTCTCATAATGATCTCGCATGTGTCTTGTTCATAATATGGTAGCGAACATTATCTTCAACCCATTGGCGTATATATCCACATACTTGTTGGTGCCCGAAATCCCAATCTTCATAAGATACGCTCTCAGGCTTATGAGCTGAAAAAAATGGGTAGATGCATCTTCTTTACGAACAACAAATCTTTCATCTTGCTTCTCCATACATTATAATTTCTCCCATTTAAACATACCAGCATGCTCATATTCGCCTCCATTCTGTAATAATCCGGATAAATAACCAAGGCTCTAATACCACTGTTATGTCGAGAAAGAGGCAAACCCGAAAATAAAGAAAGTAAAGAACATCAAATTTTAACGTGGAAAACCTTTCAAATCGAAGGTAAAAATCACGGGATCACAAAAATCCAAAAAGTTTCACTATGAAATAAGAGGGTTATAAAAGTTCTTCAAATTGGATACACAACAAGTGCCAAACACGGAGCAACAAGAGCAACAACAAATCAATTGAAGAAAGAGGAGAATCCACGAAAACGAAGTTGTTGTTCGAGGCTCTAAGTCAGATGCTACGAGCCTCCAAATCCGATCTCCACCGTTCAAATAAAACACCAAGATGTTATGAACACTCAGTCAAAAATTTCACCAAAATGTTACGGTGATGAATTGGAAAACGTGATTTGAATTTGGTTGGTTGAAATAAAAATCTGCAGCAAAACAAATACTTTTCTTCTCTCTTCTCTCTTGATGAAAACTCTCTCAAAAATCACTCTTATGTGCTTAAGTCTTTCAAAGACTTGTATGAATGAGCATAGAATAATTCTCCAAAGTTGTCATATTTATAGATTCTGAGTGGTGCTTTCTCTCAAAGCCAAAACCCACTCAAAATAGGAACAAAAATCGAATCCAATTCCGAATAGGAATGAAAAGCAAAAGAGAATAAGATTAGGTCATTGGGCCTTTGGCTAGATAACATGGGCATGTATCGGGAGAAATTCAAAAATAGTCAGATTTACAACTGGTCGTTCAAAAATTGCCCAGTTTCAAAAGTAATCGAAATTTTGCCACTTTTCATGTAAAGATAAATCTGAGCGAAAACACTGTTCAAAACCCGAAAAATACGTCAGTATATTATACCAGAGTTCCAGCATAAGTATGCTTGAACTCCAGCATATTATACTGGAGTTCCAGCATAAGTACACTAGAACTCCAACATAATATACTGGAGTTCCAGTAAGTATAATTGTCCCGTATAATATATTGGAGTTTGGAGCACCGATGCTCCAGTCTCCAGTATATTATACTGGAGTCGGCAAAGTATACCGGTCCAGCATAATATGCTGGAGTTCATACACAGGTGCACTGAACTCCAGTATATTATGTTGGACCGGTCTCTATTGCAGCAAAATAGTGGCTATTTTTTATTGACTTCGTAAACGTCGGCTATTTTTGAATGATCAATCCGAAAACTGATTATACCGTGCTATTTTTTTGCATGTATCCAACAGCCAAACAGGCTATTATTGTCCAAAGAAATTGTTGAAGCAGTTCTTGCGTTTGATTACCTTCAACGGTAAAAGAATAAGGGAGTTCGATGTACGATAATCAACGCATCTAATATTTTGCGTGAATTTGAACTACCTAATGTTAATTTTTTTAAAGTAAATTTACACAATATGAAAAGGATTATGAAATGCAACTTTTAAAGATAAGAGACCCACAATATATAAAAAAATAAGTCATGAAAAAATATGTGATGTGCGGCATGTAGAGGCGGATCTAGAATTTTAGTTTTATACGTTCAACATTTAAACTTATGAAGTTATGAGTTCATATCTACTATTTATTACTACAATTTTAGTGATTTTTACACATAAATTTATGCTCCGCATCAAAAATATTGGGTTAAATTGAACACGGCCGGTAGTTGTATGGTGCATCTGCCCCTACGGCTGCGGCTTGTATTGACTAATTTCATGAAGTGTTTGCTACCTCCCACTAGCATATGTATCGGATAATTAAGTCCAAAAAAAATTAAACAAATAAAAGAAATCACCTAATATTTTTATCTCCGCTAAAATCACCTAGTATTTTTCATAGTTCTCGATCCATTTTATTGATATGCAGACCAGTACCCTTAGATCTAAGCTAAGTCGTAAATAGTTATATTAATACAATTATTGTCGGAAAGAATATCTGAAGAAAAAAAATAGATTTATAGGGTGAGAGTGGCGTGAAGACATTAATATAATTAAGTAGACAAGAAGCACGGGGATCATTAAATAGTACAGCAAGTTGCATCTACAACTTGCATATTTTTATTTATTCAAATCCAGAAGTTAAGTAGAGAAAAGGCAAGCAAACCTGCCTGCAACTTGCATCTATCTTTCTCTTTACTAAAACAGTAAACAATTCTGATATGACAATTGAAAATATTGCAACTTGCTGTTTTCTTTACTGATTGATATATGTCAGCTAATTGGTCTCTCTTTCCTAAAGTCCTCCTCCAACTTGCACCGTACCTGCATTTTGATTCTCATCAACTTGTCTTCATTATACTACGTCTGCCTTTAATTTGATATACTCTAATTTGTTATGCGATAGCACCCTTTTTTTGTTTATATATATATAATTTATTCCAAAAAAATGATAATGTTTAATTTGCATTCATTATATTAAAATTACGAAGTGATTTGTGATGCAATGCTCTTCTAAACAAAGTGAAATTTTACTGTATTGTTGTTATTCTTTCTAGACAAACATATGCCTCAAACGGACAATTTCTATGTTGCACATTTACTTACCATCGACATGATTCTTATGTCCCCACCTATCTTGTATTACTATCACTAATATATATATATTCAATTATGGTAAACAACTCATGAAGAGAAAAAACTGATATAATTCATAAATAGTTATACAACGTACTAGCATCATATAGATCTTATTATTGTTTCTCCAGCCTATTTTACCTCCGAAAAGAAAATCAAACAAATTGATATGACTGTTAAAGTTGGATTTGGCCATCTCCAGTATAGTATCCCTCCATGTTTTCCAGTGTACATCTAATTTAATGACATTTGTCCTCTTTCAGATCTAAGGGCCAAGGTTTATTTAGACTAAATAATCCCTAAAGTATGGTTAAAACTAAATATTTCTATATTTTATCCTTTCTTTATAGTTAGCAGTCATCATGCGAGAATCTCGCAGGTCGCGACACCAATTTGGTGACTCAATTCCCAGCAAAGATTAATCCTTTTTCATGGATTTTTATTATTATTTTTTCATGAATTGAACCTTCAAATCGTTAATATTCTTTCCCCCAAATACCCAATCCCTTCAAATGAAAAATTTATTTCCAGAGTCATTATAACAGCTTCTTTTTGTTCTTTCACCTTTTTTGTTTCTTAGAAACCAAATAAGTGCACTATATTGTGTTTCTTGTAGTTGACAATTGCACTGTTAAATTTATGTTGTTAAAGTTGACGTGAGAAAAAATAATGAGAAAAGCAAATTGCTGCTCGAGAATAGGAAACTCCAAATTAGAATTGAGAATAAAAGACTTGAATAAGAAAATATTTTTCAACCAGAACAAAGTTCCCCCAAAGATTTCGGATGGATGATTTCTCTTTCCAATTTGATACTAACCCAAGAAGTGAATGTTTTTAGTTTAACAATGGTTAAGGCCTTAAGGGTTTTTTTAATCTAAGTAAATCTTGGCCCTTAGATATAAAAGAGGACAGATGCTATTAAATAAAATGTACATTGGTAGAAATGGAGAGATGTTGTACAGGAGGTGAGCCAAATCCGTTAAAGTTGATGTTAGGGTTTAACCTGTGAGACATTTTTGGTCTGTTTTAAAAAGAATGATCCATTTCTAAATTTAAAATTAATTTAACTTAAATTTATAATTTCACTCTTAATGAGAAGCTTTTATAACCATATAAAAGCAGTGTGATTTGCTTAAATCTATGAATAAACAAAAGAATCATTTTTAACATATGTACGTATACCAAAATGAAATTTAAGGGTACATTGTACTTAATGGTGTCTTAGCATGAAAACTTGTCATGAACTTAATTACTCTCTCCGGTCCAAAATAAGTAATTTTTTGGTTGTTTTCACGTATATTAAGAAATTCATATTTTAACATTAATTAGCAACGAAATTGACCATATTAACCTTTATTATCTCTTCCCATAAATATTCCTAGTACATACTCTAACATTAATTAATTCCTAGTACATACTCTAACATTAATTACTCCAAGGGTAACGTAGGAAAAAAATAATTAATTCACTGGAAAAATCACTTATTTTGGACCACAAGAAAAAAATCAAAAAATCACTTATTTTGGACCGGTCGTTATCCATTCGTTTGGATAATCCAATTAACAAACTTACTTGATATTTATTGCTTAATTACGTTGTTAAATTTATTCTTAAAACCAAACCATCCAAATTAGTACCGCTTAGCCTTGTCTTCATTGCCTTCATTAGAATTTGTTCAAAATAGTATACTACATTAATTTCTTTATAGCACATATCCAAAATTTGAATTGAAATTCATATTTTGAGAAATAAAAAACTTGAACGGAAAAGTATTACTATATGACTAACATGGAAACAAAAGTCTCCGAGAAAATGTCGTGTATATAGCTCGGTAATTATTGTCCTTTTAGCCATTTTCGACAAATTACTGATAAAAGAAAACGTAGCAGTAAAGAACCTATCAATATTAAAGAAACAAAGAAGAAAAACAATCACAGGAAGAAATTCATTCAGCAAAACAAGTTTGTTAACCAGAACTTATCTTCAACAAGTGATGACAACCTGAAGATCGATGAAGAACAGCTAAAAGGTGCAATGATTTTTCAAACCATCGTACCCCCTAAAAAACATCATCGGATTTGATAATACATCGTATCATCACATGTATCATTGATATCAGTTGATTTTTTTTTGTTTTTCATTCGATGTCTGATGCCAGTACTACTGAAGCCGATTAAATCCGGATTTGCGCTGGAATATCAGAGGGGTGAAGTGCTCATGGGGCCTTTCGTCTACCCAAATTCTCAGCGATCTGCGCTAACCACTGAAGGTTACATTTAACAATAGTATCAACAAAAACACACGTTTCATCTCTAGTATTACCCATTGGAACATCCACAACGTACGATTCCACAACAATAGTCGTTATCCCATTGCCTGAAGGTTCAGGATGTAAAGTAGTAACAGACCGATAATTCGCGAGTCGGTGGTCCCCACCGACTACGCTGAAACTAATGACGTGGCGCTCTTCGTCAAGAATTTCTAGCTTCTCCGTGCTGTTTACAGCTGGCAGACCGGAGATAACGCGGACTTCACGGAGAGTACCGACGTTACCGTCACCGTCGATGAGGTGGCAGCTCTTGACGAAGTGCTTGTACGCTTGTGGGTTATCGAACCGGCGGACGACGGACCATACGGTGGAAACGGGAGCTGAGATTCTTTGGATCACGGCGGAGCAACACTGGTTGGGTCCCACAAGATGTGTATGGTATTTAACGACGGAATCTGGTACCTGAGTGGTGCATGGTATTGGTGTGTGGCGCTGTAGTTGGTGGGGTTGTTTACAATTGGCTGTAGTGTTTGAATTGATTCTTTGGAGTAAATAAGATGAATTCTGACTATTGGGAAGCATTTTTTTTGCTGAAGGGTTGTCTGATTTCAGGTATACAGAGATAAATATAGAGGAGAGAGAGAGAGAGAGGTGGGTTTTGAAAGAAAGAAGAAGCAATAGGTTTAATGTGAGGATGATAAAAATAGAAACTAGTTGCTGCAAGTGAAGTTACCAAAACAACCCTAACACATGCTAAAGGATATTCTTGTTTATCTTTTTCTTTTTTCATTTCCTTTCGTAGACTCCTTATTTTTTACTATTTTTTTTAGGTGAGTTCACACACTACAAATACTTAACACATATTCACTATTTACCTTAAATTAAATCAGATAGTATAATCATATGTGTAGCAAATTAAAGTGAAATCGAATATATATCACTTAATATATATGTATGTATAGATTTTAATTTATTATATATGTAAGCTTAGTTTGAAAGGAAAGGGATAGATTTAGTGGGCATTTGGACATAAGAATTATAAAATTCTGAAAAAAGGTGAAATTTTTTTAAAGTGAAAATGATATTTGAAAGTTAGAGTTGTGATTGGACATGAATATAATTTTGTGTTATTTTTGATTTTTTGTGAGTGATCTGATTGACAATTTTTAAAAATATTTTTTTGGAGTTTTTCAAATTTTCAAAAAGTTCATTTTCAAGTGAAAATTGAAAATTTTATGGCCAAACACTGATTCTGGATAAAAGTGAAAAAATTTCGAAAAAAGTAGAAAAATTCTTATAGCCAAACGGACTCTTAGTTTGAATACATCGAATCCGTCCTAAATCAATATGCAGGAATAACACGTTTTCCTTAGAAATACAAATGTAACTCTTAATTTTTGAGCTCCTAGATCAAACAATAAGGATACGCTATCTTGTTAACATGCGCGGATCTATGACATTGTTTTGTCTTCAAATCGAGCTTTATCACTCTCCTTCCACAAGGACAACAACAACTCTGTATAATTCTATTAGTAGGATCTGAGGAGGTAGTGTGTATCCAGACCTTATCTCTACCCTGAGGTAAAGATGTTGTTTTCAAATAGACTCTCGGCATCCTTCCCTCCAAGAACTCCCCACCTTGCTCTTGGGATGACTCGAACTCACAACCTCTTGATTGGAAGTGGAAGTTGCTTACCATTAGAGCAACCCCTCTTGTCTTTTATCACTCTCCTTCCATGGACTTAAAATTTATAATTTCCCCTCCGCTCAATAATCATTAAATTACACTTATGTAAAGGTTAGTCGATTCATTGTCTCTAATCTATCAAATATCAGTGGAACACAAATCTAAACCCGTTAATTGTGAAGTGATTTGGTACAATTACCGCATAAGTTGCAACTATTCTACTAAAGTTTGAACATGAGACATCACCTTATTAAGGACGAAATGTTCAAGTATCTAAAAAAGTACGGTATAATCAGATCTTACACATGCGCTTTTGTGGGATAAATAAACTATTTTCAATAGACCCTTGCCTCTAAGACCAAAAATAAAATAATAGAACTCTTCAATTCCCCGCTCGGCCGCTCCTAAGGTCGTTCGGTAAATGAAAAGTGGATCAACTTTCTAAATGAAAAAGGTTTAAAAGGCACAAGATATAGGATAAGCATTCTCTTGTTATCTGTCCTCTGCCCCAAAATAGTCTCTTATGCATGTCTGAATCCGGAACCAAAATTTTTGTCTTTTTTGGACAGAAGTAACATTAATAAGTGTAAAAAAAAAAGTTATTATTTTATATATAACGCAGTTTAAAATCGCGCTATATTTTAACGGTGTTTTAGCCGTTAAAGTATAACGCGGTTTAAAATACATGTATAGTGCATGAATTAATTGCGTTATACCGTTATACTTTAACGGTGTTTTAGCCGTTAAAGTATAACGCGGTTTAAAATACATGTATAGTGCATGAATTAATTGCGTTATACCGTTATACTTTAACGGTGTTTTAGCCGTTAAAGTATAACGCGGTTTAAAATACATGTGTAGTGCATGAATTAATTGCGTTATACCGTTATACTTTAACGATGTTTTAGCCGTTAAAGTATAGCACAATTTTAAATCGCGCTATGCATAGAATGATAATTTTTTTTTTTTACACTTATTAAAAAACTTGGTTTCGGGTTCTTAAAATCACTGTGTCAGACTCCCTCATAAGTCATAAACTTACAAAAGTCAAATCCTTCCCCTTTAAGGCAGAAGTTTGGGAAACCCAATCATTAAATAAATAAATAAAAATTTAAAGGAGGAAAACATAAGTATTATCCTTCGTTTTTTCTTCCTTTTCTTTCCCTTTAGGTAATACTAGTATTACTCCCACCGTCCTATTCTACATGCCGGCATTTAAGTAATCAAAGAGCTTAAAATCTTAATGTAAAATGGAAAAATAACACATCAAAGTTTAATATATTTTGAATAATTAATGAGTTTTCTCTAAATTTTAAAAGTAATGCAAAAATAAAATAAAATCAAATTTTATCTTTTGAATAATTTGTTGGGTTTTGTTAATTATAACCAGAGAAGTGTGAATGGAAAATGGTGGGAAAAGAAATGGAAGAAAATAAAATTTATTAATTTTCTGGTTTTGAATTTAGAGAAAACTCATTCATTATTCAAAATAATGAATTTTTTTGAGGTCAACATTTTCTCATTTTCTGGTTTTGAATACAAAAAATTAACATAATTTACGAACGTTGACATCAGCTTGGGCAAAAGCGCATCTAATCTTAAACCCGACATACTGAACTCGAACATATTAGTTTTTTTAAAAGTACAAATGATAGATAATATTTATCCTCCGTTTGACTTAAAATCTTAAATACGTTTATTATGTTAATATAATATAATCCTGAATTGATATCTCTCTAATCTTGTAGTAGCTAGGCTGCAACTCTTGATTTTCTCTGCTTTGAACGTGAGAACTACTAGTGCTAGTATTACCACGCGCATATCATATTACACTAGTATATATATTATATATATATATATANGGATCCACTAAAACAATAAGAGGGTTACAAAAGTTCTCCAAATTGGCTACACAACAAGTGTCAAATACGGAGCAACAATAGCAACAACTAATCAATTGAAGAAAGAATATAATCCACAAAAATGAAGCTATTGTTCCAGGCTCGAAATCAGATGTTACGAGCCTCCAAATCCGATCTTCACCGTTCAAATCAAATATCAAGATGTTATGAACACTCAGCCAAAATTTCAGCCCGGTCCAACAGTTAACGAATCAAAAAACGTAATTTGAAGTTGGCTGGTCGGAATAAAAATCTGCAGCAAAACAAATATTTTTCTTCTCTCTTCTCTCTTGATGAAAACTCTCTCAAAAACCACTCTTATGTGCTTAAGTTGAAAAGACTTGTATCAATGAACATAGAATAATTCTCCAAGGTTGTCCTATTTATAGATCATGAGTGGTGCTTTCTCTTAAAGCCAAAACTCACTCAAAATAGGAATAACTCGAATCCAATTCCAAATAAGAATGGAAACTAAAAGAGAATAAGATTAGGCAATTGGGCCTTTGGCTGGACAACATGGGAATGTGCCCAACAAACTACCCCTCCAACCAAGGGGCCAAATGTGCCTTCAAGTAGAGGAACTATTGACATGCTTCATGCCTGCCAATTTTCTGCAAAACACATGCTTATCTACAAGCTTAACTACAAAGTCATCAGGCTATTCCATATAAATCTCCTCATCTAAATCACCATGAAGAAAAACAGTCTTGACATCCATATGCTCAACCTCTAAATCTAGACTTGCAGCTAAGCCTAGAACCACACGATTAGAAGACATCTTCACAATAGGGGAGAAAATTTTACAAAGTCAACTCCCTTCTTCTGGCCAAAACCTTTAACAACTAACCTCGCCTTGTATCTAGGTGCAGAGGTATGGTTATCTTACTTTATTCTGAATATCCATTTGTTAGATAAAACTCTCTTACCTTTCGGCAATTTCACTAACTCATATGTGCCATTCTCATGGAGTGACTTCATCTCATCTTCCATTGCTTCGATTCACTGATCTTTGTGAGTATCTTGCATGGCTTCATCATAATTCTCAGGTTCTCCCATGTCAGTCAAAAGTACATACTCATCAGGAGGATAGCGCATGGATTTTTGCTTCTCCCTTATAGATCTTCTAAGAGAGGTTTCAGGAGCATTCGAAGTAGTTACCTGTGCAGGAATTGGTTACTGATCAACCACAACTTCATCAACTGGAGAATCCATAACATCTACACTATGATAATCATTTTGATATTGATCACTGTCTCCATCATTGTCTTGGGTTCCTTCATGTGCAATAGGTGCCTTAGCAATTGAAACTGGATCAATATCAACTAAGCTCTCATTACTCTGAGAATCTATCTTCTCAGCTTTGTCAATATTTTCAATAGTTTGGTCTTCAAAGAATATTGCATCACGACTTCTAATAAGTTTATTGTCTACTGGATCATAAAAACGATACCCAAACTCATCTTGACCATAACCGATAAAGATGCACTGCTTAGTTTTGACATCCAGTTTCGATCTCTCATCTTTAGGAACATGCACACAAACTTTACACCCAAAAACTCTCAGGTGATCATAAGAAATATCTTTGGCAAACCAAATTCTTTATGGGACATCACCATCCAAAGCAACTACAGGAGACAAATTGATAACATAGGCAACAGTGTTTAGTGTTTCTGCCCAAAATGTATTTGGAAGTTTAGCCTCTGAAATTAAGCATCTAACTCTCTCAACTAGAGTTCTATTCATCCTCTCTGCCAAACCATTCAATTGAGGTGTCTTGGGCAGAGTTTTCTGATGACGAATTCCTTTTTCCTTGCAATAGTTATCAAAGGGACCATAATATTCTCCACCATTGTCAGTGCGAATACATTTTAATTTCTTCCGCGTTTGTCTCTCAGCTAAGGCCTGAAATTCCTTAAATACGCTAAGTGGTTAATCTTTAGATTTCAAAGGATACACCCAGAGCTTACAAGAATGATCATCAATGAAGGTCACAAAGTAAAGTGCACCACCTTTTGACTTTACTTTAAAAGGACCACACAAATCAGAGTATACTAGCTCCAATAAATCAGGCTTTCTTGAGGGAGGA